GGCGCCTGTAGTCTCAGCCACTCGGGAGGCTGAGGCAGGAGAATGGTGTAAACTCCGGAGGCGGAGTTTGCAGTGAGCTGAGATCCGGCCACTGCACTCCAACCTGGGCAACAGAGCGAGACTCCATCTCAAAAAAAAAAAAAAAAAGTTGGGGGGAGGGTAACTAATTTTTCCCAAGGACACACAGCTAGGAAGCAGAAGAGTTGGGATTCGAACCCAGAAATTTGGGCTCCAGAGTCTGTGCTTATCACAGCCAAGGAATGCCTCCTCTCACCATCATTGCAATTGTCATTTTTACTGTGGTTGCTGTTTTTGCTTTTGACTTATATCCTCAACTCATCCCTCAGGCAGGGGGTCAGATCCAGCAAACGTCCTACAGCATCGTCTTGGAACCCCAAGGTTTGTGAAATCTGCAGAGGGTATGTGAGATCCTGGGGCTGTGCTAGGGAGGAGGAAGGAGTTGGCATGAGCGGGTGTGCCCAGGTGGGGATTCCGAGCCTCAGCCCCAGGCTCTGTGCGCCCTGACTTCCCCAGCCCCAGAGCCCACTTGTCACAGAAGGTTGTGGTTCTTCAGGTCAGACCCAGACAAAACTGGTGCCAAGACAGGAGTTCTTGAACATGGTACCCGACACGGAGGCGGAAGTGTTTATCAGTGTTCAAGGTGCTGGGGGACACAGGAACGTGGAGAGGGCTGATACTGGGTCCTCTAAGGTCCACGAGGCACCAGGGCAGGAGGAGCTGGGGGTGGCCGTGTGGGGCGATCAGTGAACCATGGTGGCTTAGGCATAGGCCACTCCCAGGGTGACCCAACTCACCCACCCAACAGGTGACATCCTTGGTGAGACAATTGTGGGCAGCCTGACACCCAATGAGATTCGGCATCTGCTGCGGGTCCCCACGGGCTGCCCTGAGCAGACGCTGAGCTCCCTGACACCTGTCATCATCCTGTCCCGCTATTTGGATGCCACCCGCCAGTGGGGCAAGGTCGGGGTGGAGCACAGGGACCAAGTGATGAAGAATATTGTCAGCGGTGAGAGCTGGGACCCTCCTGGGGCCTCCATGAGGGTGCCTGGGGATCTCCCAGAGGGTGGCTGGGGCACCCCCAAGATTGGGGAAATCTTCATGGAACCCCCCCAGCCCCCGCCTCAGGCATTAACACCCAAACTGTGACTCCTTCCCCAGACTGCAACCTGGTACTAATTCCCCAAGGTCATCCCCCAGCTGTGACACACCCATGGGAATTCTTCACCTGACCCCTTCCCCAGGCTTCAATCTTTTCTCTTTTTTTGTGATGTAGTCTCGCTCTGTCACCAAGGCTGGAGTGCACTGGCATGATCTTGGCTCACTGCAACCTCCACCTGCCAGGTTCGAGCCATTCTCCTGCCTCAGCCTCCTGAGTAACTGGGATTACAGGTGCCCGCTACCATGCCTGGCTAATTTTTTTATTTGTATTTATTTATTTATTTATTTATTTAGAGACGACATCTCACTCTGTCGCCCAGGCTGGAGTGCAGTGGCGCAATTTCAGGTGCCCCCCGCCACACTCGGCTAATTTTTGGATTTTTAGTGCAGATGGGGTTTTGCCATGTTGGTCAGGCTGCTCTCGAACTCCTGACCTCAGGTGATCC